GTGCCTCTGGAGTAACCTGTGTCACATTCTTTTGGGTATATCCCCAAGAGTGGTATTGGTGGATCATATAGTAGATCTAGTTTAGAGTTTTAAGAAGCCTCCAAAGTTTTTTCCAGAGTGGTTGTACTAGTTTACATTCCCACCAGCAGTGTAAGAGGGTTCGGGTCCTTTTTCCCCCACATCCTCGCCAACACCTGTTGTTAGTGGTGTTGCTAATGATGCCAGCCAGCATTTTTAATTGTGATGAAGTCCAGATAATCAGCTTGTATGTTCATACTTTCCATGTTGTATCTTTGAACTTTATGTCCAACCTGAGAAGCCTGAGATCACAAAGCTTTTTCTTTTTTCTTTTCGTGTGGTGGTGAGTGAGGAACCCAGGACATCACGCTTAGTAAGCAGACATCCTACCATTTAGCTACATCCTCAACCCAGATTTTCACCTTTGTTTTATTCTTAGTTTTATATCTTTACATTTTATACTCAGGTTTATGGTTCATTTTGGGTCAATTTTTATATATGGTGTGAGGTGTAGGTCAAGGTTCATTTTGTTAACTATAGATATTCAGTTCCAAAACGATTTGTTGAAAAGACTGTCCTTTTCACTCTTGTCAAGAATCAGTTGACTGTACTCGTGGGCCGATTTCTGGTCTCTTGTTATTTTCTATTCTGTTCTGATCTAGGTTGGGTCAGCAGCAAAGTTTTTCTATAAAAGGCCAGATAGAAAATATTCTTTGCAGACTCAAAGGCAAAAAGAATTATATTATTTAGGTACTCGTATAACAAGAGGAAAAACAAGGTTCTACAAATTTTTGATGAAATTCACAATATAATGAAGTACAATTCTTGCTATGTAGGTCTTCTAGTAAGAATGAAATTCCTTTTTAATAAGTGGATAACATTCTGCTTAATTAGGGGTCAAAGTTAGTGTTTCCTAATCAAAATTGATTACACAACGCTTCTCTACTTACATGTATCTACATACAATACATATTCTTTTATGTAATGAAGTCTTAATGTATTTTAGCTCTGAAAAATGTCTTACCACATAGGTGATACATGTACAGTGGAAACCCTGCAATTTGTGGAGTGCTGTCAAGTACTGCAAAGGTGTCTCCATCATAACTGGTCAGTTCTCACTATAGCAGAAAAGCAGCCATAGACAAGTAAGAGTATAAACAAATGAGTGTGACTGTTCCAATAGAGCTTTATTTGTTAGCACTGAAATTTTAATTTCATAGGGTTTTCACTTGTCATGAAATATTAGTCTTCACTTGATTTTTTAAAGCAATTTCAAAATATCAAAACATCCTTGGCTTAGGACACAAAACCAGAACAAGCTAGATTTGGCCTGTAGACTGTGATTTGCACACCCTCCCTCCATCCCCATCTATGTTTCTGTCCTTCAACCAGTATCACACTGTTGGGATTGCTGTAGCTTTATACAAAGTGGTGGTATGAGTCTTTTTCAAAATTCTTTTGGCTGTTCTAGCTCCATTAGCTTTCCATAGGAATTTTACAATCAGCTTATTGACTTCTGCAAAAAATCCTGCTCTCGTTTTGATTGGAATTAGGTTGACTATGCAGAGCAATTTAAATTGCTATCTTAACAATATCAAAAGAACTCGGTAAACCTCTCCATTTGTTTAGGTCTTCCTTGATTCTGTTACCAGTGTTTGGGGGTTTCTCTATAGATTTTAGATTCTGCATGTTTTTGTTAGATTTATGCGTTGGTGTTTTCATGTTTTCCGGTCAGAACTGTCTTTTAAGACTACAAGTTGGATCGTGTTGTTTCCCTGTTCAGAACCCTTAAGTGGCCTCCCACCGCTCCTTGATGAATTCTGTAATCTTTCCAAGCCTCAGAGGCCCTGTGATCCGGCTCCTTCCAACCGAATTTTATGCCACTCACCCCCTCATTCATGATTTTCTCAGACTAGGAGGAAATCGTGTATCTACCAAAGTATATAACTTTAAGAATATCTGAAAGAATAAGTAAACGTATTCAAACAAACAATTTTTTTTTTTGCTTCTTTTTTTAATTTATTTTTTGGGGTGAGACTGGAGTTTGAACTCAGGGCTTTACAGTTGCAAAGTAGCCACTCTGCAATTTGAGGCATACCTCCAGTCCGTTTTGTCCTGGTTATTTTGGAGATGGGGCCTAGGCAAATAGTTTGAACCATGATCCTCCTTATCTCAGCCTCACAAGTAGCTAGGCATGAGCCATCAGTGCCCGGCTGACGAATGTCTTTTAACCTCACTGGGTCACTGGGCTCCTTGTGGACTTGTTTGGTCCTTAAAGTTTAATTCTACCACTAAAACAGAGTGTGTTGTAAGGATAGGTTACAAGGGACTTCACTCTATGTGTGTTAGCTAAAGAAAAGATTTTCACTCCTTAGAAACATACTGAAAGTTGGCAAAAAAAGGCTGTGCTTCTGACCAAACTAAGGAGTTTGTTCCTGTTCTTAAACATGGATGAAGCTAAATTTTCCACCTATTAAAACAGTTTTTGTGGGTTGGTGGAGTGGCTCAAGTGGTAGAGCACCTGCCTAGCAAGCAGTGAGGCCATGAGTTCAAACCCCAGCACCATACTTAAAATAGTTTTTGTAAGTCTATTGGCAATTTACTATAATATTCAAAGTAAAGACATAGTGGTGTTCTATGGGAAAAGTCTGCAGCTATGAACCTAAAACAAGAGAAACACACACACACAAACACACAAGATTCATTGTCTTAAACCTTGAAACCAGCATATTTATAATCAATGTTTAGTCATTGTGCAAGACATATAGAGATGACTAAGATACACCATGCTTGAAAACTAATGGGAAAACAGACAATTAAAATGAAAACACTAACTAGGCACAGTGACTCAAAAGCCTATAATCCTAGCAGTTTGAGGCCAGCCCAGGCAAAAAAGTTTTTGAGACCTTCATCTCCATAGAAGAAAGCTGGACATGGTGGCGTGCACCTGTCATCCCAGCTGTGGTGGGAAGTGGAAAATAGGAGGATTGAGGTCCAGGCTGCCAGGGCAAAAAGCAAGGCCCTATCTCAAAAATAACCAGAGCAAAAAGGGCTGGAGGAGTGGCTCAAACTGTAGAGCACTTGCCTAGTAAGTACGAAGCCCTGAGTTCAAAATCCCATACCGCCAAAATAAAATTGAAAACATTTGTTTGTGGAAGCATGGCTAAGGGCTTCAGTAATCCAAGGAGAAATGAGTAGCCCAGTGAGATTTCAAGTATAAAGTTCCTTGATTTTCAAGATGAGACTCATGGAGGTGAGGACTCTATCGTGAAATGCTAAGGGTCTTGGATTCCATCCTGTAACTCAGAGATTCTAACACCTCATGAGCTCAGAATTACCTGGAGAACTTGTTAAATATTCAGACTCATGGATTCTTCCCCCAGAGATTGACTATGTAGGTTTAGGGTGGTTCCCCAGGTGGTTATTTAGCCAGGAGTCCCCCAATGTGGCCATTGGCCTACTGACATTTAGGAACCAATGCATTAGGTAAGATTGAGCCAAGTAACAGTTCATAAGCTGATCGTGGCAGCACTTTAGAAGGTAGACTCTGATGGTAGTGTAGAACAGTGAAATTACCTGTGATTAAGATGTGAATCCCAGTGGAGGAGATCTTTGGTTGAACCTGAGGTAACTGCATTTCTAAGAAGTTCCCAGGTGAGGCTGGTACTGCTTACCTGAGAGCCACAATTGAATTAGCAAGGAATAGAAGATGGGTTAGAACAGGGTGTGACACAGCAGTATCCTATTGTCATAACCCAGCCAGGAGATAGTGAATATTTGAACTACTAGCAGTGTCTGATAAAGGCAAGAATGGATTCCAGTGAAATGTGATGAGATGAAATTGACAAGACTAACCTAGGGTGTTAGTAAGATCAGGAGTTAGAAGTACAGGGAGGGTTGTCAAGGATGGTCTGAAAGTTGGAGCTTACCTGTCCAAGTAGACGATGAAACTTTTAACTACAATGCAAGATAAAGAGTAAGAAAGAGGCTGAGATGTGGAGGAGAGCTGGTTAGAGGAAATAAGTGTTTTGGAGTTCGAGAAATAAATAGCCACAGGAGGATTCTTTTTGAATGCACTGAATTTGAAGAATCTATTAAATATCTAAATTTGAATGGTGGGTGGAAGAAGACGAACCCATAGGAGAAAAAGAAATTTTATTTTTTTATTTTTTTTTTCTTTTATTATTCATATGTGCATACAAGGCTTGGGTCATTTCTCCCCCCTGCCCCCACCCCCTCCCTTACCACCCACTCCGCCCCCTCCCCCCTCAATACCCAGCAGAGACTATTCTGCCCTTATTTCTAATTTTGTTGTAGAGAGAGTATAAGCAATAATAGGAAGGAAGAAGGGTTTTTGCTGGTTGAGATAAGGATAGCTATACAGGGCATTGACTCACATTGATTTCCTGTGCGTGGGTGTTACCTTCTAGGTTAATTCTTCTTGATCTCACCTTTCCTCTAGTACCTGTTCCCCTTCTCCTATTGGCCTCAGTTGCTTTAAGGTATCTGCTTTAGTGAGAAAAAGAAATTTTAGAGAGAGACAAGTTCATAACACAAGCATCAAAGGCATTTCAAGGTAGAGGATGTTTCTCAGTGGCAGAACATTTACCTAGCGTGCGCAAGGGCCTGGGTTCCATCCTCTGCACCCATCAGTGAGTTAATTAATCAAGTAAGTAACTAATTAATTAATTAAAGTGCATTTCCAGGAGAGGAAGGTCATGATATCATTGCCACAAAGACACCAAGTCAAAAAATTATATATGGTTCAAAAAAAGTACATAAAATTATAGTTAAAAGGCTGACTTTCCAAGGTGCTGGTTGGCTAAAGGAAAATTATGAAGCTTCCAAGTTAGCTTGTTTCTCAGTCTTTTCATTTAAGGAAACGTTTAGGAATGAAGTCATCTTTTTCAAGTCACTCATAATGGTCAACTTCATAGTGCCTTTTCCATTCAAGTGTTTTTCCTCTTTTTTCTCCCCCACAGATTGATCATACTTAGAAGAGCTGCTAAAACAACATAGAGGAGGTGAAAACTAACAGATGAAAGTTTTGCCATGCACTGAAAGAACAGAATTGTCTGTGAAGTTCTATTTTTAAAAATGTCTGCTTGTAACACTTTTACTGAACACGTTTGGAAACCTGGTGAATGCAAGAATTGCTTCAAACCTAAAAGCTTGCATCAGCTCCCCCCAGACTCTGAGAAAGCACCCGTCACCCATGGTAATGTGAAAACTAATGCCAATCACAGTAACAACCACCGCATCAGGAACGCTGGAAATTTCCGTCCTCCTGTGGCTAAAAAACCCACCATAGCTGTGAAACCCACCATGATGGTGGCAGATGGGCAAAGTGTGTGTGGTGAGCTTAGCATCCAAGAACACTGTGAGAACAAACCTGTCATCATGGGATGGAACAGAAACAGGACTGCCTTGAGTCCAAAACCCCTTAACAATAACAATGAAGGTGAGATTGAAGGATTTAGCCATGTTCCTAAGTTGTATGGCAATAATGATAGTGCAAAGAAGGTCTCAAATAACAATAATGGACTGACTGAAGTGTTAAAGGAGATAGCAGGCCTGGATACCGCCCCTCAGAGAAGAGGAAATGAAGCAAACTCCAGAGAAACATTCCTAGGAAGAATAAATGACTGCTACAAACGATCACTGGAGAGAAAGCTTCCTCCAAGCTGCATGGTAGGTGGGGTCAAGGACGCTACTGGCAAGCACGTTGTTCTGAGTGGGAGCACAGAGGTAATCAGTAATGAAGGGGGCCGGTTCTGTTACCCGGAGTTTTCTAGTGGTGAGGAAAGTGAGGAGGATGTGCTTTTCGGGAACATGGAGGGGGAGCATGAGAGCTGGGATGAGAGTGACGAGGAGCTGTTGGCCATGGAGATTCGCATGAGAGGCCAGCCTCGCTTTGCCAATTTCAGAGCAAACTCTCTGTCTCCTGTTCGCTTCCTTGTGGACAAAAAGTGGAATACTGTCCCCCTACGAAATAAGTCACTGCAAAGAATCTGCGCTGTAGACTATGATGACAGCTATGATGAAATCCTGAATGGTTATGAGGACAATTCTGTGGTGTCCTATGGACAGGGAAGCATTCAGAGCATGGTGTCATCTGACTCCACATCACCAGATTCTTCTTTAACAGAAGAATCACGCTCCGAAACAGCCAGTAGTTTATCGCAGAAGGTCTGTAATGGGGGGGTGTCTCCTGGTAACCCGGGAGATTCTAAGGATGTGAAGGAAATTGAACCCAATTATGAAAGTCTCCCTGGTAATAATCAGGAGAAGGACTCATCACAAGCTTCCAAAATCTCAGTAAAAGTTCCAGAGACACACAAAGCAGTCCTTGCTCTCCGATTAGAAGAGAAGGATGGCAAGATTGCCGTACAAACTGAGAAGTCAGAAAGTAAAGCCTCTACAGATATTGCTGGCCAAGCAGTAACCATAAACCTTGTCCCTGTAGAAGAGCAAGCAAAGCCCTACCGAGTTGTAAATCTGGAGCAGCCATTGTGCAAGCCATACACTGTTGTGGATGTGTCAGCAGCCATGGCTACTGAGCACCTCGAGGGCCCCATTAGCAGCCCCAAGACAAAAAGCTCATCTTCTACCCCAAATTCTCCAGTGACATCCCCTGCACTGACACCAGGACAAATAGGTGCCCATTTCCAGAAATCCAGTGCAATCCGATACCAGGAGGTGTGGACTTCTAGCACCAGTCCACGACAAAAGATCCCTAAAGTGGAATTAATTACTGGTGGAACTGGACCAAATGTCCCTCCAAGGAAAAACTGTCACAAATCAGCACCTACTTCACCCACAGCTACAAACATTTCCTCCAAAACCATCCCTGTTAAGTCACCTAATTTGTCTGAAATAAAATTTAACAGTTACAACAATGCTGGTATGCCACCTTTTCCAATTATCATTCATGATGAACCAACTTATGCTCGGAGTTCCAAAAATGCGATTAAAGTTCCCATAGTTATTAATCCAAATGCATATGACAACCTAGCCATCTATAAAAGTTTTCTGGGAACAAGTGGAGAACTCTCAGTGAAGGAAAAAACCACAAGTGTAATAAGCCATACTTACGAAGAAATAGAAACTGAAAGCAAAATGTCTGATAACACAACCAGCAAACCCACCGAATGTCCCCAAGCTAAAGGGGTCTCCAACAACACAGAGTGTAAAAAGGGCTCCGTGGCTCAGAAGGTTCATGAGTTTAACAACTGTCTCAATAGAGGTCAGTCTTCCCCACAGAGGAACTATAGTTCCAGCCACAGCTCCCCAGCAAAAATCCAGAGAAGCACTCAAGAGCCTGTGGCCAAAGTGGAAGGCACGCCAGAGTCTCAGATGGTGGGCGGCAGTGGCAGCTCGAGGGAGAAGGCAAGCACCGTGCTTTCTCAGATGGTGGCTTCTATCCAACCCCCCCAGGCTCCTCCAGAAGCACTGCAGTCTGGCCCCAAGGCTTGCAGTGTGGAAGAGCTTTATGCCATTCCTCCAGATGCTGATGCCAAGAATCCACCTGTCCGGCCCAAATCCCTCTTTACATCTCAGCCTAGTGGGGAAGCTGACACACCTCAGACCACAGAAAACCCTACCACCCAAGTTCAGAAAGACTCACTCACCAAACCAGTCACCACCCCACCTTCCAAATTAATGAGCAGCCCCCAAAGTGAACCACCACCTCCCTTTCCCCCACCACGCTCTACTTCCTCCCCATACCATGCAAGCAACCTTTTACAGAGGCATTTCACCAACTGGACCAAGCCCTCCAGCCCTACCAGATCAACAGAAGCTGAATCCATTTTGCACTCTGAAAGCAGCAGGCGGGCAGCTGATGCAAAGCCCAAACGCTGGATATCTTTTAAAAGTTTCTTCCGCCGTCGGAAGACAGATGAGGAGGATGACAAAGAGAAAGAGCGTGAGAAAGGGAAACTGGTGGGCCTGGATGGCACCGTCATCCATATGCTGCCTCCTCCTCCAGTTCAGCGCCACCACTGGTTCGCAGAGGCAAAAGGAGAGTCCAGTGAGAAGCCAGCCATCGTTTTCATGTACAGGTGCGACCCTGCACTGGGCCAGCTCACTGTGGATCAGAGCAAGACTGGGGCAGACCAGGCAGCAGTCACAGAAAAGAGAAGGGCAGAGGATGCCTTACTGTGGGACTCGGAGAAGAAAAGTAGTCATTCTTCTCCATCACAGATTCCTGGAAAAGTTCACAGGTATGTAAAGTAGACTGGCAGAATACAGGACATTTTCTTAACACATTTTGAGGTGCTGAGTTTTTTTATGTCTTTTAAGATTGCACAAGAGCCATTTCTGTTTGTAAGTAGCACTCTGTGGCCATCATCCATCTTTATAACGGCATTCCAAGATTAGAATATTATCAAAGTGATCTTACTGCACTGAACAAGGTTTATGGCACTGGATTTCTAGCTAAAGTAGCCTGCTGCATTCTCATGAATGCAGAGGGGCTTTACCACAGAAAAGCAAACCCATAGCACTGTAATAGCAATAAATAATATGTCATTCTGAAATGCTGTGGCAGAGTGAGGGGAAGAGAATCAAGTGAATACGCTTTCCCTCACTGTAAATGAAATAAAACCCCCGTGTGCACTACTGTATTTCCAGGAAGTATTTGACTTTTTATTATTGTCTTTTTCTGATCTCCTCCTTTCAAGTATTGTGGAAAAAACAGGGAGTAGGCAGTCTATAGATATTTAACATGAGAAGTAGGAAAAGTTGGTTATGGAGGTTGGCACACAGTGGTATAACCCTCAGTTCACCTCGCAGATCATGTACCCACAGGAGTTCTCTAGGCACTCGTCTCCTTTAATACCTTAAAAACTGTTTAGTAATCACCTACTCTGTGTTTGGCACATCCTGAATATTTTTCTTAAATCCTTATAAAGCCCTATAAATTGGCTCAAAATGAGGAAACCAAAAAATCAGAAAAGTTAAGAATTGGCCAGGAACAGAGCTAATGCTTGTCAGAGTTGGAATTCGTACGCCAATCTGTTTTGCTCTAAATCTTGTATTCTTCCTAAACCGTTGCATTATTAATGAACACAAGATCACAGGGCTGAGGATATAGCTCAGTGGTAGAACACTTGCCTGGCATGTGGGAGGTCCTGGGTGTGATCCCAACAGGAAAAAAAAAAACAACCTGCATTTGTTCTACTTTTACCCGTGGTCATTCACATAAACACTTATGCTCAGAAATACTGTTTTCTTTCTTGTTTGTTTGGTTTTATTTATTTACTTACTTATTTAGCGAACCTGGGGTTTGAACTAGGGCCTTGCACTTGCCAGGAAGGTACTCTACCACTTGAGCCATACCCACCTCTTTTTGCTGTAGGTGTCTTGTCAGTAGGATCTCACATTTATGCCTGGCCCATCCTGGACAACAGTCCTCCTATTTATGCTTCCTGCATAGCTGCGATAACAGGCACATGCCACTGTGCCCAGCCTTGGTTGAGATGAGGGGGTCTTGCTACCTTTTTGCCTGGGCTGGCCTTGAACCATGATCCTCCTGATCTCTTCCTCCCAAGTAATCTTGTTTGTATTCTAAACAAAATTAATTGCGCCAGGCATGGTAAGCATGCCTATAATCTCAGCTATTCAGGAAGCAGAGGTGGGTGGATTGCCAGTTTGAGGGCAGCTCTGACAAAGTTAGTGAGACCCTGTCTCAAAAACAAAAGGGCTAGGTACATGGTTCAAGTGGTAGTGCTTGCCAAGCATTTGCAAGGCCCCCAGTGCTGCAAACAATAGTAGTAATAGCAGTAATTGCCAATAAAACAAGGAATGTTTATCCCAAATGTTGATAAATGGGATGATTTCTTTACTCCATACTCATTGTATTCTGAAACAAGAATATGTCCTGAGAACTGTATTCTTCTGATTCTGAGTCCTCTTCCTCCTGACTTGTAACCTTCTCCACCCAGGCCAGCCTTCTCCCTGGCAGAGACAACAACCTCTGTTTAGGGGGCAGAGTCTCTCACCAGTTTTTCTTGAGGAAAGTATAAATAAAAATGTGTGAACTCTTATTGCCTTCATATTCCCTCACAAAACGCTAGGGAGTTCTCTGCATGTTCTTTAGCAAAATGAGCTTTTTTCATCCCTCAGAATGAAAAAATGCTTGCTAGCATTGTCAGAATGCTAGCAAGTCCCTGTTTTCCTTAAATCCATGTGATAAGAAAGCAGCCGGACAGTGGTAATACAATCCTAGAAAAATAGTCTTTTTATTAGTAGCTGAATAAACTGAGTATGTTTTTTTTGAACCCAGTAATAGAATGTGGTACTCGAGGAGTGATAAAATGCATGTATTGCAGTGTACTGTTTTTTTAAAGAGGCAACCTAAACATGGTTTGAGTTACCTAGGAGGGAACCGCAGATAGTTTCTGCAGATCAATACATGGCTTTACTACTATTTAAGTATGGCTGTGGTGAATGTGTTCACATCCTGGAAGGCAGAGACAAGGAATGATTTGGCCTCTGTTCTGGGGAATACAGCTCTGTCCTTTATCTACACACCACTCTATGCGGGTTTAAGTGCAGCCCAGCCCTGGGCATGACAGACTGCTTATTATATAGCTTATGTTTTCACAGATTTGTTACACATGGGCCAATCATACCTTCCCAATTTTACCAGTTTCTCTCTCTTTTACTGTTTTTGGCAGTGCTAGGGTTTGAACGTAGGGCCTTGCATTTCTTAAGTAGATGCTTTACTACTTGAGCCACACCTCCAGCCCTTTTTGCTTTAGTAATTTTTCAGAGAGTATCTTGCATTTTTGCCTGGGTTTGCCTGGACTGCAATCCCCTACCTGTGGCCTCCCGTGTAGCTGGTGTGGCCACCACCACGGCCAGCTTGTTGATTGAGATGGGGTCTCACTAACTTTTTTCTGGAGTGGTCTTAAGCTGCAATCCTCCTGATCTCCACCACCCAAGTAGCTAGGATTATAAGAATGAGCTACTGTGCCTAGCCTTTTTTTTTCTGGTACTGGGACTTGAACTCAGAACCTCGTACTCGCTAGGCAAGCACTCTACCATTTGAGCCACATCCGCAGTCCTTATCAATTTCTTTATAGGAAGCATCCATGAGTCTGAATGACACAGATGTTTTGCCTCATTGGTACTCAGCTTCCACTATGTTTCACAGTTATCTAGAAGGCTGTTAAACAGATCATGGGCCCATCCCAAGATTCCTAATTCATCAGGTCCCACGTGGGTCCTGATGTGTCATACTACCAACAGGCTGATGCTGCTGGTTCTCAGACTGCGCTTTCGAGCTAGTAATCTCACGGCCATTCAAAAGATACGTGCCATACTCTAAGTGCGGCCACTATTGAGACATTAAGGCGTTCTTAAAGGCACACTGAGGCCAGGCGTGGTGGCGCACACCTGTAACCCCAGCTTCTTAAGAGGCAGAGATCAGGAGGATCTCAGTTTGAAGCCAGCCAGGGAAAAAAGTTAGCAAGATCCCATCTAAACAAACAACCCAGGAATGTTGGTACGTATTTTGAAGCCCAAGTACACAGGAGGCATAGGTAGAAGGATCTCAGTTTGAGACCATCCAGGCAAAAAAGCAAGACCCTATCCAAAAAAATAGCTAAAGCCAAAAAGGCCTGGGAGCGTGGGTCAAGTGGTAGAGTTCTAGCAAGCAGAATGTCCTGAGTTCAAATTCTAGTACTACAAAAAAAAAAGTATTGAAATTTTCTCATTTCATAATTTCCCAGAGTAGGTAGCAAAAGAAGTGTTCATTAGGTTATTTTTAACATTGTGTAAAGTTTAAAGCATGAATATGCACATGGAAAAACATACACCGTTTGCTTTTTAAATAATTACCTCATTTACTTGGATATGCCATTGGTATTTACTTGAAGCAACTTTGAGAGGAAAAACATTACAATCAAATGTCAACATTTGTGTTTCTGGCTTGATGGCAATGTGACCATTAAATTACCCTCCCACGGCTGGGAACACATTGCGGAAAGAAAGGAAAATACTGTTTTTCTATAAGTAAATGAAGACTATAAATCTAAACTGTCTGTAAGGAACAAATAATGAAAAAATACTGTTCTGAAGGCCAGACCCCCCGGTCCCTGGAAGATGAGAGGCTTTTACAGAGCCCTTCATTACAGAGTCACATTATTTCTAAGTTCATTTATTTGACTGTTCAGAAGACATAAATTGAGTATGTGCCATAAGGTGTTGGAACAAATAGGGGAAAGACACTGCTGAAGTAATGGACTTCAGTTTGACTTCAGCTACAGCTATCTAGAATATGATGACACCTATCACATAGGATTAATTTGAAGATTTCATGAGAAGATGTAAAATAGACTTGGCACAGAATCTGGCATATTGGATGTTTAAAGATGTTAGTAGTTCCTCTGTCCTCAGTGTGACAAATGCTACATGTACAGAGGCACAGAAGATGGTGACTAAATTAGCTTAAAACAGACTCTCAGAAGTGAAATTGAAACCAGATCTTAAATGACAAATAGGAAGGCTGGGTGTGATGGAGTACGCCTGTAATCCCAACACTCAGGAGGCAGGTAGATCACACATTTGAGGCCAACCTGGGCTACATAGTGAGACCCTGTCTCAAAAAAAAAGGAAGGGATGGGAGAACAATATCTGCAGAGACACAGCGTGGTAAGGAGGGCAGCAGAACAGGAATGTGGCTGGAAAGAATAGAGGATAGTCCAGTGGATCTAAAAGGCTGAACTTACAGAAGGGAGATAGAATGCTTATTATTATATGCGATCATCATTTGTCAAAAAGAACACAAATACAAAAGAGCCCAGTGGCTCCTAACTTATGATCTCCTGCGTGAGATCAAATGGTGACTGTGCAAAGGTCTTTATTTCATTATACTCTGCTGCAGCTTGACTACCCCCAGAGGCCTATGGAGCTACTGAAGATGGTAGAACCTTTAAGTGGGACCTGGTAGAAGTTGTCACTGGCATGCCCTTGAAGGAATATTAGGACTCCTCCAATCTCTCAATCTCTCAATCTCTCTCTCTCTCTCTCT